GGTTAAAGGATCCTGCCTGTGGAGTTAATTAAACAAAACAATTTAATTTATTTAACACCCTGCTGTGATGATTGCCAGGTCAAATACGTAGGTGGAAGTAGTGGATCGGAGGCAGTCAGACTAGCGCAGCACAAAGACCTAGTAAAATCTAGATTAGCTGACCCTAATAAGATGACAAATCTGGAGAATAGTTTAGCCGTCGGCAGCACTACATGTAATTACACACAACCATACAATAGGATGGGATAGGATGACAGTTTTAAAATCTAAAGTAACAGGGTGGAGGGAGAGATTGATAACAGAAGCTTTATTCATCATCGAATCAACTGAAACGGAATATGTGTAATAGGAATGACTCAACACCTTTCCACCCTCCCAGACATCAGGAAAATTCTACTACCTTTACGATAAATAGGAGAGAACAAAGAAAACTATAAAACTCAAGTTTCGAATTCGTGTGCTACTAATTGATATGATTATGAACAATAAGTTGTGTTCGAAACGTCATCTAGTAAATAATACTGTTTCATTGTGTGATATATCTAATAAACAAATTAATATGGAATTGAAAAGGGTCTCTTCGCCGAATCACTTGTTTTGATTCTCAATAGTTCCCAATGGGAATTCTCGCCGAATGTGCATCGGAACATTAGTTTCATAGTGGAATCTGAACGCTAAGATCAGTTTCCTTTCTCTGATATATCCATGAGATAAGATAATTGATACATGAGAGAACATAATGAAAACATATTTGAACTGGAGAGTGTTTAAACTACTCTTGTTTCTGTTCAACAAATGTAAAAAGGGATTGGCCAAGTCGGTTTAGAGAGAAAAGAGTGGAAACTTTTCTATGGTGACAAGCTGCCTACAGAATCGGACTTACTTGAAAGCAACTTTCTGAAAATGGACATGCAAATACCATTATCAGCAAGTTAAGGAATCCAACTTTACTTCGGTCTGCTGAATCTATTGCTATCAAGCATCAAGCAACTTCAACCTAACTTGTGTATAGAAACATGAATTATGATTAATCTGTTTACCCTGATAGCAGCTTTTCCACACATAATATAATTATGCATCTTCGTTTCTATTACCACTTTTTGGTGCATTAATCTTAACTCAATTAGTTGATTTCTAATCGCTTCTAAACACTCCCTTGTATATTATTACGCAATCTCAATGTCATCAACCATTCATAAATTTACTCTATGATGAAACTATACTCTACCACAGTGCTCAAGTTCTATTCTTAAACCGAAAACTTAGTTACACGATCTTCCTACTAATATTGTTAATCAATCACGTCTAAAATACAATTTCCTAATAGGTCTCGGGATATACTTCTGATCACTTTCATTTGAATTCATGGATTTATTTACTTATCGAAAGAATAATTATCCATCGGGGAGAAAAACATTTAGTGGATTCCTCTTATCAAATATACGAACAAAACTAACAGCCCAAAATTAGCTCGCAACCAGCAGCTAAAATACATTGTTTGTGAATTAAATTGGAATCAAAAAAGTAGTGTCATTTGAGCACTCTTCTTTCGAACGATTATTAGCATGGCGTCGATTCCCAGTACCATTTGAAACTTTCTGTGAAAATAAAGATACACAGTGGTAATTAGTCTAGGTCGGGAATACGTCTAATAAATCCACCCAAGTGCCTTTAAAATCCTACAGTCCATATCACCCGTGTTTAAATTCATTCTAGGCAGTCACACTTTTTGTTATCACATACGGTGCTGATTTCAAAGTATAATCTCGAGGAATATTTATTTATTTGCCACAAGTAGGCCTATAAAACCAACCCATTTGAGCAGTGAAAAACCGAATACTTCCAAGCAAAAGTGCTACAAGTCGATGAAACAAATTTCCATTGTCGGGAGTCGGCAAGAATATGCCGACCCTATACCAATCAATATTTACCACTCAAACCCATCCCTTAGTGTGTAGCACAAGCTGTTGCCGATTGTTTACCAACAACCAAACAATTAGAATTTAGTTTTCGCAAAACATATATTAGTTCTATGATGGTCATCCCGTTTGCAATGAAATAACAATAACTGAACTTTTGTATGGTAAAGACGACAATATAAAATAGTCGATTTAAGGTGGTTTGCATCATTACATGTGAATGGAACTAGGTTTCTGTTCGATTACTTAAATCCTAGGATAGGACTTTTCTGTAAAGCTAATTAATTTCTGCTGTTTCGTCACAGAATTAAGGTTTAACTCCTAAGACCAAATATATGAGTATTTTTTTTATTCCTTCACATCCCTAGTGGAACATAGGGCTCCAAGCCAGAGGCTTGAAGTTTCTGTAGCGGTGTTTACTTTTACAGGATCGGGTTAGTAGCCTCAGGCCCAACCCTTCCTCTTTACTAGCTCCATTTCTGGTTTCGCGAGATAAAGGAGTGCGTCGTCCGGGGATCGGACTCCAGACCATGTGCATGGTCCTAACCGCTGTGCCACCGACGCACAAGGTATCACTAAGCACAAGTTAAATACAGATCTCATCACTTGGACTCACATTATGTGATGTAATGAGGTGTCAATAATCCATCACTTCCTTACTGATCAAAACTGACGCATTTCGAAAAGGGTTTATATATATATATATATATATATATATCGCGATCACCATGTAGCTATCCAAAACTAGACTGCTGAACGGAAATGCGTGGGCTTCCAAGTAACAACTTCTGGCCACAATAATATGGATTTTCCTACTATGCTGACCACATAACGTTTCTTTCGTAGTTAGATTCCAGCCACTTGTTAGATCTACAAACAAACTTCACGGTCATTTACAGATTACGGTGAAGTGTCAATCTTTTTGTCACCCTAAGTTATTCATTTTAGTTAAATAGTTTTGACAATAGTGCAGAGGGCTTATTATCATTAGCGCTTGACTTCCACATAGTGTGTTCTCAGATCACATCAAATTCCTCGCACAATGTGGCTCACCCTGTCCCAGGTGAATAAGTTCTACCTCATCTTGTGTTGAAAATATCTGACTACCACCTTTGGCATTACAACATCCCAAATACAAAAATATCGAATATTTTGAGACTTCGTTGGCTGGAGACGCACTAATCTCATTATCGTAGATGCAACGGTGGACATAAGTCGCCAATCACCTCATTATAAAGGGACATCGATATCTACCAAACGTGTTATAACAACATACAACTTGAAGTTAAAACAAGCATCCTAAACTGTCATAAGGGGAATGCGGTCAGATTACTGCTCACTAACGTGAAGTCTCTTCGTGCATCTAAATGTGTAACAGACATTTCCTATTGATCTTCTGCACAACGTACATTAATTCAAATACTTGAGCACCAAGCTTTGTACACGAGCAGTGAGCATGATAGTCATTCAGCAGAATCGCTTATGCATACAGACGCTGAGTACGCGTTTATTCTGTCAGTTTGCTAACATATGACTAAAGTATCAGAATACCACAGTAGAGTTTAACTAGCAAACTGTCCATTTGATAACCAAACCTAATAATAATAATAAGAGATTAACATATAGCTCTCCAGATAGCGATATACAAGTTCGAAGTGTATTGTTTCGGAACTAACAATTTTCGTTCCCGATCTGTAATTACCTTCATAATTAAAACACATTTTAGAGAAGTCAGTTAGCGTCCAGACAACACTAAATTATGCTAAAGCCGTACAGGACTCCGACAGTGTTTAAGAGAAGTATGCTGCAAAAGATTTCTTTCACCATGAAACAGATTATAAGTAGCCTATGTCTCATCCACAGGTTTAGTCCTACAAATACAGCAAACACATATCCAATGAAAGAATATCAATGAAGAGTCATTTAAAGTTGCCATTGCAACTGCACTAATTTAAGAAAATGTTGCTTTAAGGAACTAGAAACATTTCACCTGCAGCGAAACCTTATTTTCAATTAGACTTATGAATGCTGCACTTCCAATAGAACTATGCAAATTCAATAGCCCTACAAAAACTGCCAGTTTGCGACTGTAATAACCCACAAAATCCGCGATCGTCTTCACGTGTGACTGGAAGGGACTAAGGTTAAATCGTGACAATATACAACTAAACTTAGCCTGGAGCGAGTAAATCGATACTGCGGTGCATGTAGTTTGAGTACTGTCTGATGAAAACTAAGAAGTGAAAACAGACAAATAAAGGAAATTTAAAGTATCGGTTCACAGGTAAACTCAAGGATCCCAGTTACATGGTGAAACCTTCACGAAGCTGAGACGTCTAGGAAGTCTTACACATAGTACTCCCTAGGAGACACAAAACTGCCAGATGTTAGGGGACAAAAGGGCTAATGAATTATTGTAAGCCATGACCTAAAAACAACGGCAAATTGTAATCGAGACGCAGCTAAGGCTTTTCAAATGCTACGGGCACTTCAAAGGGCTTTCAAGCGATTAGACGAGGATATGTTCCAAGTACTCTATGCAACATACGTCAGACCTCATCTAGAATACTGCGGCGAGTTCGTGCATCAAAAAATGAGGCACATAACCTGGAAAAAGTACAGAGGGTAGGAACGAAATTAGTTCGTGGTAACTCACACCTTCCATATGATATGAGGACGGAGCAGTTAAATCTCTTTCCATTTTCATACCAAAGGAGGAGGCGACTTAATTCTGGCTTAACGTATAATAAAGGGTGATTTAGGGATTGGCATTTCAAACCTTTCCCCTCCCTCTAGGATACACTTACGAGGTCACCACAAGGTGTTCAAACCGAGGTCAAATGAAATACGTTTGGAGTTTAGATTCTCTCAGAGTGGTCAACAACTGGAACTCCTTACCTAACTCAGTAGTAACAGCTCCATCGGTGAGCACTTTCAAATAGAAACCGGGTATCTGCAGATATATATATCGCTAGGATTAACATAGACAACAAGGGCCTTCTATCCTTATAATCTGAATCTAGAAGAAAGTATACGTATGTTCCACTCACTGCTATCAGATTTACTGATAAAATGGGTAAAAAGCATCAATGAAAGTTACAGGATATATACAACAGTCAAGAACGATGCAAACAACAAGGCATAAACATATACCTACTGAAATCGCTTTCCTTCGATAACTCTCTAACGAATAACAAAATGTAATACAAAAATCGGATTTTATTTCATGACACAATGTGTAGTCAGCAAATAGTATACAAACTGTAGTTATATTCTTCCAACAGCATTGCAGTAGACTGAAGTGCTCGTAGTGCTTAGTGTGCGAAGACTGCTTTAGAAACAATATAATGCTTTAATATCCCACAGACTTCGCCTTAGCTTTACTTATCATAACAGACTCGGCAACGCCTTCGAGATCAACAGCGTGCACATCACCCTTTAATCCTTCAAACCTTTTCTTAAGTGCCTCTCTTGATGACGCATATAACATCTTCTGTTTGACAGGAAGAGAATCACAAACCCATGAAACAAATATCAGGTTTGATCCTTTAATTCCTTCACACTCATAGTCAATAACAGCATAGCAGCCTGTATCCTTGCGAGATGTCAGTTCATCCTTGAATTCCTTATACGTAGCACCTGTGTAAACAAACACCTATATGACAGAAAAGGGAGAATTACTTCTTGGGGCAGCCTTCGACGCAATTATCTGTTCGCTATTCGAGATAGTGAATATGATATAACGGTACAAATTGTCCATTTTCAAGCTCTTGTAGAGACGCTCACATTCTGCAGTGGGTTTTATGCCTGATGACTAAGAGAAAATCAGAAACGCCCACGACACTTACCATGTTCGCGTAGTAGAGGTAAAACTGAAATGCCGCTCCCTTGAACCAAATTCAAACCTGTGCGCCAAACTCATCATGGTAATATTGAATGTGTTATTTTTTTATTTTTTATTTTTGGTAACAGCTTGATTCCACACTGTATTTTTGGTACAAGTATGGAATTTTCAGCGTGAATATCGGTAGCCCAAATTTCGCAGGCCTACCATAGATATCAGGTGTGCGCCGGTGTGTGTTCAAACCACTTCATTTTTGCTGTCTACATTAACTCCCAGATTTTCAGTCTAAAAGACGCTGTGAAAAGGGATTTTCAATGGCTTAGCGCCGGCTGGCGAAAAACTACTGTATCTCAGTAGGTGAAGCACATAAAAATTATGAGTAAGTTGAATTTGTTAACTGTTATTCGAGTGTATTTATGCAGTTTGGCGACATTCCTTAGAGTGCGAGTTTTTATACTTACTCCCCTTGAAATACGAAACTACGGAGGACATGTCGACTTTAGCGATCAGAGCGAAGTTGGAGATGCTACGCGGGAAAACCTGGACGCGTGGATGGGATCATCTGAAAGTGTCGTTTAAGGAAAAGCGTAGAGACGATTTACAAAAAGAAGGGAGAGAAAAGGGAAGAAAATCTATGGATGTATCGAGGCGAAAACAACACAGTGAGGTGAGAGAAACATGAATCAATGCGAAGACGGAAAAGAGAAGAGCCGGGGATGAATATACAAAACGTAGAAATAAAGAAATGAAGAAGAGTGCCAGGAAAGACAAAAGACAATTCTACAGCACGCTGGCACGTAACTGGAGCAGAACAGCCGGACTACAGATAAAAGGGACCTGAGAAAACTATATTCAATAACGAGGTCTGTAAATGAATGCAAACATTGAACGTTGGTTCATTAGTCTTGTTCGCCATTGGCGGGCAACTCGAGGGAGTGAATGATCTAATCATGTGCAGTTTGAAGATGAACGAATACGAACAAAAATACACCACATTTCTTGTAAAACATTTGTTTATAGACTTTGTACGAAATATTGACTTTAATTGCCAAAAAATGCAATTGGTCCTTGTGTTTCGGAGCTAAAGTCGATAATCGTACCTAGTGTAATTGTCGAAGCGAAGCGTCTTCGCAAATAATAGGAACTTAGGATTAAGTTCCTTGACAAGGTCACTATCCGAAGAAAATTCAAAGCAGATGAACGGAAATGGGGAAAGTGGACATCCCTGACACGTACACACTAAAAAAGTAGACCGATTTACTGACAAATCACGCGTGGCCCATATACCTGTACAGACAACCCCGCACAACAGGTACGCAAGGACACGCTTGACTATTATGCACTGCCCTTTGCTGCCAGAGCTTACACTCATAAAGCCGTAACCCCCAATCTAGCTATTTATTCCAGGTATCTATGACTCACACCAATCTACCTAGATAACGCTTTAATTAGCCTTATTATCTCTGGCTTAGAAAAGGCAGACTTTATTAATGTCCCTTACCTGTACTCCCTTAGCCTTCTTCACGACTTGTCTAACTAAGCCATCTTTACTGGGCTGCACTCGTTGCAGCAGCCCGTGTGATCATTAATTCCTACCGGTAAAGTTTTATAATACGATAACTATGCCCCTAATCTACATGCCCTAATCACGTCCGTCCATTTGTTTCCCTGCTCTAACATGGAGACATGTTCCTTGAACTGATGCCTCCATTCCCATAAGCACATATCTAATTACCACTGATTGTTTCTTCTCTATGTCCTCTCATAGCACAAACTCTCAATGTTGCCATTACAAAGGGGTCAGTGGATATGTTGTGTGCTACCTCCAGATACACAGCTCGCGAAAGTGCAGTCATGGGGCCTTTCATATTTTCCACCTAATTTCACCAATCAGCCAATAATAATAAACACTTAATGAAGGGAAAGGATAGCTGTCCATTTCACTACTGGCAGTCCGAATGGATGCCATCAGCTAGCACACTAACTAAGCATTCCTTCTGCAGCAAGTACAACTTCTCACTGCTACACTTCTTCTCTATCAGTTGCCAGGACACCTATAACATCAGCATACCCTTCAGTGTTATGATAGTGTCCTAGAACCAACCCCATGACATGAAGCTTCGGTAGCAAGATTTCTTGGTGTTTCTTTACACTGGGCCAGGACAAGTTTCACGATTGAACGCCTGCACAAATCAAGTCATTTAATGAGATTTGATGAAGTCTGCGCAAGGGCGAGTCAAATGCTTGTACCACTGAACTAGCGGATGTCATTAACAGCTTAAGTTCCTAATAAATTCTACCAGCTGAAGAGTTCTTATGGTGTTCAGACTAGCAGGCTGTAGTTTACCTACCTTGGGTCGAACTAAGATATGTGCCAACGCTGCTTAAACGCACTTACGATCTTTGTAGCCTTTATCTCTACTTGTTTGTCATTTACTTCCATCGTTTAGTCTGGTGCTATCTACTCAACTCTGAGACAACTAAGGAATGATGGGGCCTTGGGCCATATTATAAGCTATTCCTCGCTGAAGAGCATTCCATAACATGTAAAATCCCCAGAATCCCCCACTGAGAGCACACATCTCCATTGAGGAACCTTTTTGAGTTCGTCAAAAGTTGAGAATATGTTAGCCACGAGTATCTTAAATACATTATTTCTACTACTACTACTAATAATAATATATCCGCATTTTGTACATGAGGGACGCCAGTTTACAGGCATCATCAATAAGGTAAATTACATATACGATTAGCAATCATACTTAATAATAATGTTTTAATAAAATACATATTTTTTCCTACTTGTGTAGGACACACCAAATATACAGGCATGGATAAGCATTATTTAAATTTCATAAATTTGGTTTATGGTTAAGTTACATGGTTGCTGGCGTTTTTTTCTTAGGTTTGTGGGAACAATATGATAACCAGTCATTCAATGGAGCACATCATGAAATATAGGAATATTGACTTCGCATTAACAAAAAAACCCAAGTAAGTTTTGGATGGATTAAAAATACTTGGGAAAAAATAAAGCTTGAAGTAATTCCTCAATATAACTTGGGTGTGTACAAATCCGAATCTTATTTTTGATTTGATTTATATCCAAATTGGGTAATAAGGAAGCTATTTTACAGATACGATCAGTTATGTTATAAGCTACAATCGTGACGTTGTATTACAAATAGATACTTTTCCATTGGTATAAGAGTATATTCCACAAATGTAATCCAGGTTGCGTCGTGGGGAAAGTTAATTCGTTATTAACCAGGCAACTGAAAGATACGGGACCAATAATGTTTGCAGATCATTTGTCATTGTAAATGGTCAAATATCCACATTATTCATTCTCATTCAAAAAGTCAAATGGAAGCTGAAATGGTGAGAGAAAAAAGAAGACAAACAACAGCAACGCAAAAGAAAGCAAGGGGAGTCCTTAAGGAGTGATTAATAAATATATACATATATATTCTGTTTAGTAACTATGGTTATTTTTGTTCATAACTAACTAGTCCCGTTATGCTAACTTTTATATTATGTGTGAACTAATATTACTGTCCTGTGTAGAAATGTTTATCATCTAGTTCCAATAATATTAAAATTTATAATTGTAGTTTGTTGTAACTACACGTTTAAAGAACTTAAAATATCTATGTAGGGTGAAAAAGAAGGTGTAAGAGTCAGGCGCAAAAGTGCATTGTCATCTTTGAGCAGTCTGGTGACTGAGGAGATGAACACTGGAAGTGTGTTTGCATCGCGCACATTAGCTGGTAGTCTATTCCAAATGACTGAAAACTTATTTAAGAAGAAGTTGTACCGCACGTAAGTCTGACAGTGCTCCATAGCAGCTAGGTTGTGATGATTTCTAAGATTGTAACTGATGACAGCGGTAGGTTTAGTTATTGGCTCGGAGGAATGCAAGAGAAGATTAGTTAGCTTGTAGTAAAAGATAAGGTTTAGCTTAAGGCGTCTTTTCCAGAGGGGTTCTAATCTTAGTCTTTCGCATCGCTCATGGTATTCCAGACCACTTTCTAAACCAAGAGTTCTTGAGGTAAACTGCCGTTGCACTCCCTCTAATTTAAGCTTGTCATTTTGTCTGAGTCCGCTAAGAATAAACGGGCAGTATTCTAAGATAGGTCGGACACATACTTTGTATAATAAAACCCTAGTTTCACAACAAAAGAAATTGCGTGTTATGCATCCTATCAGCCTTCGCGTTTTACGTCTGGCATAATCAGTCTGTTCAGCGAACGTTAGGTTACTAGAGTATCTAATACCGAGATCTACGACTGAGTTGAGCTTAGCTAGTTTTCGCCCATTTATTTCAAGAGTTAGATCAAGGTTACTGTTGCCGATACAAATCCAGCCGCATTTGTCAATGTTAAAATTTAGACAGGATTCAGCACACCATGTTGCGAGACTACTTAGTTCAAGATGTATTTTAGTAACCATATCGCTTAATTCATGAGTGTAGCAGGAGTAGACGACTTTGAGGTCGTCAGCATATAGGAATGGTTTGCCTAAGGTGAAGCACTTGCAAATGCTGTTAATGTAGACTGTGAATAAAAGTGGACCTAGGACACTACCTTGCACGACCCCACTTGAGATCTGCCTAGGATGAGACAATACAGATCCAACTTTGGTTATTTGTACCCTGTTGCTTAGAAATGATTTTAACCAGTTCAGTAATGGGTTGCGAATTCCACAAGAGTACAGCTTCTCAAAGAGAATACTGTGAGATACCATGTCAAATGCCCTAGATATATCGAAGTAGAGAACAACGACTAGCTTACGTGCTTCGCGACTACTAGTGATGCAGTTGAAAAAGTCGAAGTGGCAAGTAACGCAGGATCTATTTTTGAGAAATCCGTGTTGAGACCTTGTAACAAGATCTTCCCTAATTAGGTAGTCTGACAATTGATCTTTTACAACTTTCTCCATGATTCGTGAGATAACTGGGGTTATATTTATGGGTCTGTAATTGCGGACGTTTGCCCTATCACCAGATTTGTAATGTGGAATTATGAAGCTAGTTTTCCACTCACTAGGGTAAGTGCCAGTGTCCATAGATATTGAGAA